GGGGGGGGGGGGGGGGGGGGGGGGGGGGGGGGGGGGGGGGGGCCATAAATAACAGAGCTTCTTTCTAGCTCTGCTCTGTATGTTGTTGGGGATTTTTTAAAAACTAAGTGAATCCTTTTGTATTTGTCCTTGTATTCCTTTGGAATGACTTACCAGAGCAAGGTTCAGAGGCATCATCATGTACCTGTTGATGCTGTCCTACTGTTTATATATTAAGTTCTTTGGGGGAACATGAAGAATGAGTTTTGTGACTGCCCATGTGGGTGGGTGATCTACCTGGAGGTCAGGATGGCTGTGAGGTCCCCAAGTCCCTGAGGTGGGGAAAAAGGCACTCAGTACTTAAGAAACTCAAGAAGGAATCAGATGGACTGGAAGTAAAGGCAAAGAAGCTAAGGGTGGAATTCTGGAAGCTTTATATATATAAAATCATGACTGAGTCAATAAACTTGATTTGTATGAGCTCCTTCACAGACATGCAGAGAAAAACCAGCTTGGCAGGAATAGGGGAAGGGGTAAGGGATCTAAATTAAATAGCACAGTTGCCTGCAGTTTAATTGTTGACAGAAACAAGCAGTTTTTTTCTGAGAAGCATGTGTAATATGTCAGGAAGAAAAAAGAACAATTAGCACTCTTTGTACATAAGATCTTCATATTAATTTTAATCATTTAATTAAAATTAATTAAAATGCTCTTCTGTCTTATTTACTGCTAGTCAATAAACTATACATGTATTTGACTTTCACCTGTGTCATACTTTGCAAGGAAAGCAGTTTCTTTGACCACCCAGCTTATAGCAATGAGGTCTCACCCTTCACATCTCCTGTCCTGCAGATCAGCACCTGTTTTATATTGTTTCTTATTGTCATATATATCTATCTTCCTATCCATCTATCAATCATCTATATCTATCCATACATCCATCCATCATCTCTAAGTATCTTATCTATCTAATCTAGTCCTCTTTGTTTTTGTTTTCCAGAGTGCTGATTACACAGTAGTTACAAATAAATGCTTATTGATTTGAAAGTGTGGCCTTAAAGTGACCTAAATTAATAGCTGGGCTAATTGTCCCACCTTGTTTCAAAGATGTTCTATCATTAGTTGTAAAGAACACATGTTCACAGATACTCCAACCTTGCAAAGTGAATGTGTTTCCGACTAATGACCAAACATCTAACAGCCACACCTAAATAATGAATAATCAGTCCATCGAACCGTTATTATAACCTGTAAGATTGCTGTTTTAATCTTTTAGCTGCAATTAACTTCCTAGGTGGCTTTGAGGATTACTAGCTTCCAACATGGTGTAAATATCTCAGGTGAACTGACTCTATTTACTCTGTGGTAATTTAGTTGCCCTAGAAGAGAGAGAAAAAGTTGATCAGAGCTTTAAAAAATTGAGGGAGAAAATTGTAGTGTTAATATGCTTGCTCTTATGTGAGTCACGGAATTCAGTAAATTATGAAACAAGGGTAGACATTTGCCATGTTCTCTGTCAGTTCTGGAAGCAGTGTGGTAAAGAGGGACGAGCTCATGGGACTGGTCAGGAGAACCTGGTCAAGAAACCTGAGTTCTAGAGCTGGAGACCGAGGCCGGGCTCTGCTGCCCTCTGTGTGACCTTGGACAAGCCCTTAATTTCTCTGGGCTGAAAACTGAAGTTTTCTACCTTTTTAGGAAATCAGACCTGTTGAACCAATAGTTTTCAAACTGTGTTCCGGTGTGCCCTGGCACTGGCTCTCTTCTAAGCAGTCCCCTGACACAATCCTCATGGTTTTCTCTGTGATGAGAACTGGGTTTGGTCCAGAATTAAGAAATCGTGGTGTGTTTGTTTTTCATTCACCTGCTTGCAGCGGAGAACTCCAAGGAAACACAGGTGGTGAAGATTAAGGAGGAACCCATGGAGGTTGACGTCCAGGACTCCTGTGTCTCAGTGTCACCCAGCCGGAATGTTGGCTACAGCACTTTAATCGGGCGAGAGAAAACCGAACCCTTACAGAAGATGCCAGAGGGCAGAGTTCCCCCAGAGAGAAACCTCTTCAGTCAGGACATCTCTGTGAAGATGGCCTCCGAGCTTCTCTTTCAACTGTCGGGTACGTTTATGCGGAGAAAATTGTCAATAATTGAGAATCTTTGGAAGGAAAGCCTTTCTAACAAAGTAGAAAACAAAAAAGCCAATCTGCATTATAAGACTTTTTTAGACAGAAATCAATTTTGTTACTTTAACATGCATCCTGCCACTGCACTCACAGTTAATAACGTGTTGCCAAGTAGAATTCCTGCCAAACTTCCCTTAATAAATAGTTAAGAATCATTTGAAATTAGAACTCTATTCAATTCTGTGCACATGATCCCTGCTGCCTGATCTAAACACCTTACCTCTAATTTTGTTTAGGCAGTTGATCTGATTAACAGCCTTTTTTCTAATGTGCAAAAGATAAACTTCAGTTTATTCCAACAGTGACTGAATTACCATGAATTCCATATTAGTGTGGTCTGAATTAATGAGATTTTATTGTATCTTGCCAAAAAAAAAAAAAAAAGAAGGGAAAAGCAAAAGATGAAAATATGAGGACTGTTTCCAGGTATAACCTTACTGGAATAGTTTCTGTAGACCAGTTTTTTTGTACTTCAAATATTTGGAATTCATAAGTTCAGTTATTATCAGCTTAGTGAAATGTAAGAAGGGAAAAGCAAAAGATGAAAATATGAGGACTGTTTCCAGGTATAACCTTACTGGAATAGTTTCTGTAGACCAATTTTTTTGTACTTCAAATATTTGGAATTCATAAGTTCAGTTATTATCAGCTTAGTGAAATGTCTTGATAAAATAGTTGAGGGTCCTACTACCTAAGTTGTTCCTTTTGTCAACTCTTTGAAGCCACTTGCCATTTGTCCCTAACAAATTTGGTATGCTGTTATTCTTTGGACATAAATAAGATTGATGAGATATACACATAAGATTCAGATTTCAATAGAAATGCCTGTACATTATAGTTAAACATTGGCCTACATATGGAACTTCATGCATCAGTAATGTTTGTTACTAATGTTTGATAAACTCTGTTTTGTTATGGTTAATGAATTCAAAACACCCAGTAAACCCCTCATTATTTAAGTGTTCGCTTGTTTTCCCCCTAAGAAAAATACCAGGAAAGAGAAAAGAAGCTACAATCTCTGTGGCCACCATGATTATTCACCTTCTCATTGGCCTGGCCACACACCCGAAGTTGTGTAACTATCAGATGGTGCTGGAAATGGTGGCTTCCAGGTTCTCAAATAAGGAGTGTATTTGTGCAGATCTCTGCAGTAGTGGAAATGATTAATTCAGTAAATTTTATAGGATACGTGGATCTTTGTGGGCTCCAAAACATAACATGTGAGGTGCTTTTTTTAAAAAAAGGTGAGTGAAGCATATCTAAAAACAGTGTAACATCGATAAATCATTTAGGAGTTAAAATTTTGCAAAAGTGAGACCTGCTTTGTTCTTTTTAGAAAGTCTCTGTCTCTAACAGAACATTATCACGGTCTCCCATCAGCTAAAAACTTTGTGTCTGAGAGTTCTCACCCTGGCACTGTCACTGCCTGGGTGACTTCAGACAAGTCATTTAGCCCCAGTTTCCTGCTCTCTGAATGAATAGTGGCTGTGAATCCAAATTCACCCTCCTTGTCATTGTCAAGTGGACAGAGAGGAATTGTCCATGCAAACATGCATGTGGTGCTTTGGACTAGTGTTACAAAGTGTGGGGCAGATGTCATAAATCTTTGTTTAAAATTTTCCCAAAATCTGCAAGATTAGGAAGTTTTCATATGCCCTGCCCAACACTGAAATGTGAAACCCTTGTAGAGTTGGCCAGGTTTTTTCTAGCTACGTAAAAGAAGCCATTGAGAATTGTGACAGTCAGGGGAGAGTCCTCACATTTGAACTGGATTGGGAAGGCCGGAGTTCAACTTTGGTGTTCTTGAAAGCTAATTAAATGATTTCTGACAGCTGGTAGGTACAGGCGTCAAGACACAGTAAGGGAGGGTAAACCCCTCTTCTTGTCTGATGATGTTTTTTTGTCCCTCGTGACATTTATCAGAATAAGCACTCGATGACTGTAGCACCAAGAGGTCTTACGGCTGTTTTTATATCCCTTCTCACAAAGGATCCCAATAATACTGAATGCTTAAAGGTTGTCATCAAAGTCAGAGGCGGAACAGTTGCCACAATTGCAGTTTTCACACTGAATCAGAGGAAAAGAGAAATTTTCAGCTGGGGAAAGATGTAGTAGATATAACTGTCCCTGTGCACATGTCTGTGCATGAGTGTGTACACATGTACTTACTAGGGCCTGATTAAAGTCAGACAACACACTTGAAATTCATTAATTGTTTCCCTTTGATTGGTTTTTAATAAAATATTTTTGTGGATACTCTCTGCATGCTTCTGACGATTGTCTTTCCCAGAAAGACAAGGAGAATTTGGATGTTTAAAAAAGAAACCAAAAGAAAACCACAAAAGAAAAAGAGAAATGTGGAGGGTGTTTCTGCTTAAGACTGAAAGATGAAAGCTGAGTGAGCTCTACCTAAGAGGTGTCTGTTTCATTCTTTCTACTTACAGAAAAAGTGAGCAAAGAGCACAATCACACAAAAGAAAACACCATCCGGACGACTACAAGGTAGGCCACTTTGTGCGGAATCCCCTCAGAACATCCCCTTTGTGGGCCATCAGGCCTGTGTCACGCGTGGAACATTGTCCCCCAAACCACTTTCTCCCGTGAGGTTCAAAGGAGCCATGCCCTTTATCACCATGTTCTACCAGAACTTCTCAGTTGGTGGAAACAATACAGAAATCAAGGTAACAAGGGGGAAGACCGTTAATGTTTATTAAATACCTAATTAGGTGTCACTTTGCTGGAGAATTTTCCATATGTTATTTTTTTTTAGTCCTTACAATAATTTTGTGAAGTAGAAGTTATTATTACCATCTTTGCAGAAGTTTCTTGGCTTGAGAGTTTAAATGGGTGCCACAGCTTTGACTGGGAGCTGGGTCTGTATCTTGCAAAAGCCTCATCCCATGGGTATACCAAGGTTCTTATTGCAACTGGCTCTGCGGCTGTGGGCTAATAATTTGTCACCAAATATATCCCAACATTTACTTCACAGCATTGTTTGGAGAGCAAAAACTTTTAAAGCATAAGGAAGGTAATGCTTTAAAAAAATTGCAAGAAAAACGATATTATTCACAATGATGGGCAAGAGAGTTTTCCACTTACCAGAGGCAGTTCAAGGAGGATCAGCGAGCGTGGGTTGCTTATCCTTAGCCTCTTAGGCAAGAGACATCACTGCAGAAAAGTAGCTCAGGAACGTGTGACCCCCACCTTGGAAGGACCACCTGCACTCTCAAGCCACTGTCCAGTTTCTGAGTTAGCCCACGAGATGAGCTTTACAGGATTAAAAGAGGAATGTGAGTTTACAGGTTGAACAATTAGGAATGGGAAGAATTAGCCATGAGCTACTAAAGAGTCTTTAAGTCAAGGAATTTTGCTTTCCTTCAGGAAAAGAAAAAAAAAAAGACAAAAATAAACAAACGCAAAAGGAAACAGAGACAGATTCTTCCTGATGGGAGCAGTTAACTGGTTTTGTATTTTTAATTCTTGAAACAAAAGATAAATGATGCTTTTCTTTTTGATGTGATATGAATTGACCTCAAAACATCATCAGGCATGTGGACCGTGCTCATTTGAACTTTAACCTGGGAGTTTTTTTAAAAAATCCTATTAACTGGAATTTAGGAATATCAAATATCAAATAGTAATTAAAATGAAACTTGGCTCACACTGGGTTTATACAGTATTAGGGAAAGGAACCTCATTCTAATAGAGCTGAAGAGTGGCCTTAGCCTTGTCTCCATGTATAAGTACATAGATGGAAAACGAGACTCATGAAGATGGTCTTTGGATTGCATTTTGGAAATGGGACTGTGGAGTGGAAAGGCTACGGTTGTCTATTAAGTTGGATGCCCAAATAGCAGATGTGAACTAGTACAGACTTCAGTCTGCCTTTTTCTACATGTGATCTTTAGGCTATTTAGTATATCTGCTTGTGTCCATGGGCCTAAATACTGATGAAATTGGCCAGATTGGTAGACAGTTAAGACAGCAGACTAAAAAGAATAAAAGTTAATTTTAATTGCTTCCATAGGATTCCCGACATATCGTAGGGCAGGTTCCCTAGAAGCAGAGCGTGAGATGGGGATTCTTGTGGATGTGCTCTGTTTGAGGGGGTACTCTCAGAGGATGCTTCAGGGGCAAGAGAGAGATGACAAGCAGCTGAGCAAGATGTGGTTTTAGCTGGACTCTAGCTTCAGCTCACCCCTCAGGGAGCTCTGGAGCATAAATTGCACCACAGAGTAAATACTGCCTTGAGACAAGAGGGCCAGTTCTTTGTACCCCAATATCATTTAGTCGCTTCAGATCACCCCAGGAGGGGATGTGTAGCCTCCCAGATGAGGAGGCTTCAATGGGGAGGCCAGTTCTCATGATAGGTAGCAGCTAGCACTCACGGCCACTCTGGAGTGCGTCCACTACCCTGGGAAGGAGGATCTGGGCAGGACCCCAAGACCGTGTCCTCTGGAGGTTTCTGCTGGCTCTTTTAATCTTTAAGATTACGTGGTAATATTTAGATAGCAAAAAGGTTTGCTGCAAGACCATGTATTTCATGCTTTTCAGGTGTTCACTGGGAAGATGTAAGAGAAGATTTGAACTAGCCCAAACAAGTGAAATGTGCCTCGAGCCGAAATTGACCTGGCTAGAGCTGAAGCATAATTATGGGATAGAAGAGAAATTTTTTAACCAAAAAAAAACAAAAGGGCAAAAATGAAGCAATCCTTAAATTCTCCTCTCACTAGGAGATTATGAATAAGAAATCAAAATCAGATCTTTTGCCCAAAGCAAAGGAAGAGGTGCTTCCTATGAGCCCCTGGCAAGGTGCAGTGTTCAGAAACCAGTGTTAACAAATTCTTGGTTTATTGTTCTGCAAAATCCTTTTATTTTATTTTATTTTATTTTATTTT